GAGCCGCTGCCCCAAGGAAGAGAGAAAGGGTGCAGGTCAAGTGGATTGTCTATGGCTTTTACCACCAAGTCTTTGTAATGAAGTATCTGTAGACCCCCCATTGTTCTAGGGAGAACACATTGAGGGAATGGCACTTCCAGACAGGGACGGAAGAGCTCCAAGTGCCCCCTGACCTTGAAGGTTAGTGCCCTTTGTAATTTTTGTTGTGCGTGTTGGGAATTGAATTTAGGGCCTCATTCCCATGAAGCAAGTGCCTGTCACCCAGCTTTGCAATCCTTTCTGATAAACCAGTAGATGTATTTCCCAGGGTTCTGTGAACTGTACAAGCAAATTAATTGAACCAGAGGAAGAGGTGACAGGAACCTTGGTTTAATTAATTAACTAATCCTGGTCTAAATAATTAATTTAATTTGGAGCCACACTTTCCCTATACAGCTCAGACTGGCCTTAAACATGCAATCCTGCTGTCTGTACCTCACCCCCAAATGCTGGGATTTATACATGTGTACTATCACACTTGGATATAGAATCATTCATTCATTCATTCATTCATTCATTTGGTTTTGTTTGTTTGCTTTTTAAATGGCGCTGAGGATTGAGCCCAGAGCTGTTTGTGGGCTCTACCATTAAGCTACTTCATAGCCTATTTATTTTATGATGACTATTTTTAATAGAGCCCCAGTTTAAAGCAGGCAAGTCAGAGGCAGGCAGATTAGCCTGGGCTTGCAGTGAAAATCTAAAGCTTGTGTGTTTGGATGTACACGCAGTCCTGGGGGCTCAGCCCCCAACCTATGGGACCTGCCACCAATTCCAGGCTCATCCTGCCAAAATTAAATTATGGTAGAGGACACCCACCCAGCTGGCATTTGCTGCTGCAGCTATGACTTGCTTATGGGTGCCCCCCCCACCCCCGCCCACAAGCCTGACATGAGAAGTCTGTAGTCTGTAGAGAGTGAGAAATTGAATCTTTTCCTGTGGCCTCCAAAGGGCTGACCATGCATGCGGTGGTGATTGGCTGGGAATGCAGGAGGTGATGGTTGGTTGGGGTAGGTTCTAGTGTGTGGGTGTGGGGACAGGTAGTGTAGGCAGGTGACGTCAGGATCTGACCTTTGAGCAACTCGTGTCTCGCCCTGTGTGTAGGTGTCTATGCTTAATTTGGCAGAGCTGTTTGTTTCTTCTCTGAATGGGCTTCCTGCATTCAGATAGGACGTCAGGTGCTGGGATGACAGTTGACAGGCAGCGGCAGGGGACTTGGGGTTTGCAATGGTTATGTGACTTAATGATACCCTTCCTGTATCTCTGTCATGACTGTCAAACTGTCACAGCAATGGTGAGTTAGGGTGGGGTTTCCTCTTTAAAATAACACGTACTCTGGTCCCCGGTGCCTGCAAAGCAGTGACAAGGTGGCCCTCCTACTCACAAGGAGTTTCTCTGAGCCTGGGGTTGGCTTTCCCTTTCAGGAAACCAAACCCGAGAAGGGCAAAGGGCGGCGTCTGGAATTACTGAGGTGACTCAGTGATAGGGACTTCTGAGAGAAGCAATTGTGGGTGTGCCCTCAGTTCAACTGGGTCAGAAACCTGACCATGCCCCCTCCCCCACATGCCCTACGTTCATCCACCCGCTGCCAAGCTTCCAGAATTGTTCAGGAGGCACACGCTTCTGCTAGATGCTTGCCAGGACAAGAACGGGAGGCCATGAGTGCGCATGTGTATAGAGCATGTGTAGAGGGATCTAGGTCCGGGGGCCTCGGGTGACTAAATCCCAAACTTGAGGGAGAGCCACAGAGTCAGACAGCAGGAAGTCTTACCTAAAGCCACTTATCGTGTATTTGAGGTTTTCACATCCGCACAACCAGTTTTCCTGTCAGCAGCCGCTAGAGGTGAGGCCAAGGCCCTGGGGTCTGAGGCGCTTCCTCGGTTTCTTCCCTAGAGTCCCTTGTAGAGCAACTGTCCCTGTCCTCTGCCCCTTTGCAGCCTACAAAGGACTGGGCAGTGTTGGTGTCCAATCCTGGCTGCCAGCTGTCCCCCTGGGTGGCATGTGGGAGGGTGGAGAACACGATTAGCGGACTTGTGGAGAGTAGGAAGTGTCTGCTCTGTAAGGTGACATTCGAGTGTGGGGACCATGTGATCACAGATGGGGAAGGCTGTGCTCCTCATTCAGAGGAACCGGTGGGTAGTGTTAGCTACTTATTTTAAAATGTTTTTTTCTCCTCTTGTTTTTTTTCTTCTCTTGTTTTCATTTATGAGGTACTGGGGATTGACTAAACCTAAGGCCCCATACACTAAGCGTGTGCTCTCCCACTGAGCGTTCTCTGTTTTCATTTTAAGACAGGGTCTCTCACTCCGTAGTTCAAGGCTGGCCTTGAATGTGTAATCCTCCTGTCTCAGCTTCCTAAACTGGCTAAGATCACAAGTCTGTAGGGGCCTGCTCAGCAGTGGTGGGATTTTTTTGTTTGTTTTTTGTTTTGTTTTGTTTAAGAGAAGTGTCACAGAAAGGCTGTGGAGTAGAATGGGCACTGGTGGGGGCAGGGGAGGGCCTGTTGGCATCCCATCTCTTCTCTCTTTAGGATGATAGGGCAAATATTACCCTCTGCATGTGTTGTCTGTGGGATTATGCATTGCTCTTGGAGGTTTTAGCCACTGGATGGGCTGATGTAACAAACCATAGAAGAACAGGTTTAACCGTGACCAGTGGGGGTTTATTCTAAGTCCAGGTGCTTTGGGGGTGTGGTTCTTTCCAGGACTGAGAGGGTCTATGAGGGATCTTGGCTCATAGAAGCATCCCCTCATGTCTTTTTAATTTAATTTATCTATTTTAATTTTAAATGGTGTTTGCTCTTGTGTGTATGTCTGTTTCTAAATTTTCCCCTTTTATGAGAATAGCAGTCATATTGGCTGGGACCGACGTTAATTAGAGCTAATTAGACCTGTGATAATCCTTTGTTTTTCTTTTGGTTAGGTTCTTCTTAAACAAGCATACCAAGTAGCAGGTTTTATTATGGAATTTTTATATATACTTCATTCTTATTTGTCTTTTTTGTCAGCATTCCTGTTCCCCCGCTCAACTCCTGCTTGTCCCCTACCCTCTCTCCTCTGTAACCCTATTTCTACTTCCATGTCACATGTATTACAGTCCCTCCTTCCCCTAGACTCCTATTTCTAGGAGCACTCCCTCCTACGTCATGGTCTCCTTTCTAGTTTCATGACCTTTCCCATATGTACGCATGGGCACACACGCTCACACATTACAAATAAAATCTAGGATCTGCGTGTGTGAGAAAACATGCAGTATTTGTCCAAGTCTGGCTTAATCTGCTTAACATATGGTTTTTAGTGCCATACCATCCATTTTTCCTGCAAATGTCATGATTTCATTTTTCATTATAGATGCCTAAAATTAATTAGGGTTGTGTGTGTGTGTGTGTGTGTGTGTGTGTGTGTGTGTGTGTGTGTTACATTTCTTTATGCATTTATCTGTTTGATCAGGCTGGTTTTATTACTAAACAAGATTGATTGATCCATGTCCTGTTTATTGTGACTAGAACAACGATAAACATGTATACCCAAGTATCCTTCTGGTGGATTGACTTAGAGTCCTCTGGATATACCCAGGAGTGGTGTGTCTGGGCTATGCAGTAGTTCTATTTTGAGTTTTTGAGGAACCTTACTGTTTTCCATAATGACTATACCAGTTAACCCTCCAAACCACATTGAATATGGTTTTCTCTTTCCCCATAGCCTCACCATCATTTGTTATCCTGATGGCAACCATTCTGGTTGAGACAACTTCATTTACAAATAAGGTAGCTTTCACAGATGTCAGGGGCTAGGATGCCAGTAGCTTTGGGAGAGGGACATTCCAGCCTATAGTGAGGACAGATGGCGTTTGATGCTCTCCTTATGCGAGAAGGCCATGGGAATGTATGTTGTAAGGTCTGACGGCCAGGGATGGATGGCCGCCATTGACAGACTGCATGTCTCTGTGCAGTGTGTCTGCCATGCGTCCCTATCAGCAAACTGGCAGATTAAAAAGAGAGTGATTGACAGCTTCAGATAATTGTGCGTGTGTGCGCGCGCGTGCGTGCGTGAGTGCGTGCGTGCGTGTGTGTGTGTGTGTGTGTGTGTGTGTGTGTCTGTATTTGAGTGTGATTATTCTTTAACATTTGGCTTAGTATAGCTCTTACCTAATCTAGGTTGCTCCTCCTGCTACCTTATTTTTACTCTTTGGTGTAGGGCAGTGTGGTTCTCAAGCTTCCTAACGCTGCAACTCTAACGCAGTTCCTCATGCTGTGGTGACTCCCAACCATAACATTATTTTTGTTGCTACTTCATAACTGCAATTTTGCTACTGCTAGGAACGGCATTGTAAACATCTGTGTTTTCATATGGTCTTAGGCAACCCTGTGGAGAGGTTGCTTGCCCCCCCAAGGGGGCAGACCCACAGGTTGAGAAAGAACCACTGTTAGAGGTTCTCTCTGTGACTCTCAGGCTGGCCTTCAGTTCATGATCCTCCGGCTTGAGACAGTATGCCCCACAATGCCTCGCTTCCTGTTGTGATTTCCATCTCTGCTAGTCTGCTTGTTTGTCTGAAGTTATAAAAACATACTACTATTGAGGAAACCTTAAGAAATGGTGATTTGAAAGAAGTTGGGATGCTTGCTGCCTGTGCGTCTAGATCTATATATCTTCAAATGATTCAATAATTGTCCCTGCAGGGAATCTGCAAGGGCCCATTGTATTTTGGATATTGAACAAAATTACCTTTTGTTGCGTGTTCCATTCATCTAATAAGCATTTATTCAAGCATTACTATGCACAGAACACTTTGGTCGATGCTGAGGTGACTACAAAACAGAAAGGATAATGTCTGGGTTTGAGATGCCTGTAGCCGAGTGAGAGCAGACATAATGTAAGGAAGTGACACAAGGGGAGAAGCTGTCTGCACCCTGTGGCTCTGGATAAAAACCCAGGCAGTCTTTGAAGCAACCTCATGGAGGGCAGTTCAGTTCCTTCTCCTCAACCTGCATTTTAAAAACGTAACAGAAAGTCACCCGGAAATGGAATTCTTTTCTTTGATAGTATGCTCACAGGACTGGAGGTGGACTCCAATGGGAGGCAGTGTAATGTTTTGCTGTTTCCCACATGGTATGGGATGTTCAGGAAGTTCTCTTAGTGAAACTGCAGTGACACATGCCTGTTTCATTTAAGAGGATGAAAATGGAGGGAGGTTCTGGGTGTGGCCTAGTGGACGGAACACACAACATGGACCCCCATGTCAGCATAGGAAGTACCCTTGGCCCCAAGGGTGAATGTAACCTGCTGACTTAGCCTGTGTCCGGTATCTTTGGAGTGAACATTCCTGCCCTTGGTTCTCACTGCTCAGTCTGATGACTTTGGTTCCATTGTTGGTCTTGTACCATCGTCCCCTGAAATGGCAGTTGTCTTCGTTAGGGTTTTTATTGCTGTGAAGAGATATCATTACCATGGCAACTCTTATAAAGAAAATATTTAATTGGGGTGGCTGGCTTACAGTTTCAGAGGTCCAGTCCATTATCATCATGGTGGGGAGCATGGCTGTATGCCGGCAGATATGGTGCTGGAGAGGTAGCTGAGAGTCCTATATCTTGCAGGCAACAGGAAGTCAACTGAAACACTGGGTGGTATTCTGAGCATAGGAAACCTCAAAGCCTGCCCCCATAATGACGCACTTCCTCCAACAAGGCCATACCCACTCCAACAAGGCCACACCTCCTAATAGTGTCACTCCCTGTGAGATTATGGGGGCCAGTTACATTCAAACTATCACAGCAGGGAAGACAGTGCACTGACAGTGTACAGACCTCCAGACCGCTATGGTTAGCTAGTGGCAAGCTCCATCCTTTGATCTCCAGATAGGTTTTATTTGTACAAGCAAGATATCACCACACCTAGGTCCAAGGCAGGCAAGTTGGCCTTTGGTTGTCTTCACCCCTTAAGCATCTGGGAGGTCTTCTCACATCAAGTCCCAAGCCATCTCCAGGGGCTCCAAGTTTTTCAGGATGGACCGACCTTGACAGAGCCTCTGTTCTTTCTGGCCTCTTGTTCCTTATGGCTGAACTCCCAGCTCTCTCTGATTTTACCAGGCCCAGTTGGTTGTACAGCCAGGCTACCACCTCAACCAGGCCTTTATACTACATGTCCATTCCCTTCATCCTAGATCTTTGGGTTATGCTAATGGCCATGGATTAGGGCCCAGACAGCATCAAATTCACTTCCAAGGTTGGGGTGGGGGGGATGAGTAAATTGCTTGCTACTCCAGCACAAAAGCCTGAGTTCAGATCCCCTATACCCATGTCAAGTTGGGCTTGGCAACATTCATCTGAGATTCCAGCACTAGGGTAGAGGTAGAGATGGAGGTAGAGATGTACTGGCTAGCCCTTCTGGTCAAAACAGTGAGCTTTAGGGTTAGTAAGTGATTCCATCTCAACAAAGAAGGTGGAGAGTGATAGAAGATGACACTCAAAAGTCAACTTCTGGCCTCCACATGCACATATGTGTGCTTACACATGGATACAGAGCATCCATGCTAATATGCTCACACAAAGCCCTTCCCATGTCAAGAACTGGAAGCATCTGGCAAAGGAGAAAGATTTCCAGTGCTAGACTCCCCTGGGTTTGTTCCTCCTTTGTATTCCCAGGAGAGTGACCCGGAACTTTCAGGGTCCTCTGGTTCTGAGAAACTTTAATGTCTACTAACAGCCTGGCCAGGATTGCCAGAGGTGGTCCCTAGATGAGCATCGAAGCATTGAATCAGATTGGCCCAGCCACAGGTGAGAGCCTCCCTAATGTTAAGGTGTGGCAAGATGATCTCGAGGCCTGGGGGTTTGTGCTTCCCCACCTG